GCGAGGGCCGCCTGGAGCTGCAGCAGCTCCAGACAGAGCGCGGCGGCCTCCAGGAGCGCAGGGCTGCGTGGGGACAGAGGCTGGAGGGCCGCTGGGCTGCGCGCCACGGAAAAGTTTCAGGTGAGGAGATCTCGCACCTGGGTGAGACCCGAATCCAGGAAATCCCTGTGAGCCTCAGAGACCTTCTAGGAGAGGAGTCGGGCAAAGTGGCTGCTGATTCAGGGGCACTTCTTGGAAAACTCATGCCTGGTGCCCAGGCCCAGACTTACCGCCAGCTAGGTTAGAGAGAGAATAATGGGGACTCGGAGACCACTCAGACTCATCCCCGGGAAGGACAGGCAGGCCCAAGACCCGCAGCCTTTGAATGGCACCTCCCTGCCCCATGGACCTCCCTAGGCTCAGCTGTCACTCAGGAGATGCCCAGCGTCCCCCCTCGGCATGAGTCTGAAGGTCTGATCACTCAGAATCTCCAAGTTCCCAGCAGCCCTCCGCCCAGACAGACAGACCCGGTGGGGAGGGGCGCTGGATGGGCCGCCACCAGCCCCTCTCCCATGTCACTCTTCTGGGCTCTGAGCACATTCCTGAAGCCTGGGGCAGCTGCTCCCCGTCGCACGGCACAGATGTGACCAGCAGCTGAGAAAACAGCCTCTTGCCTCGGCCAGACAGAGGTCTCGCCATGGCCACCTCCCCTCCCTTCCCCTCCCCTCCTTTCAGAGAGAGATTCCAGAGCATGTGGGAAGTGGAGGGGCGGGGCCTGGGCGAGGAGCTGAGACAGCGGGGCCATGGGACCCCAGCTGTGTGGTTTCCAGTCCTGGGGCCCCAGGCTTCCTGATTAATCGGTTTTCCTTCTGCTTCTACTTTCCCCTCTCCTCTCCACGCAACCCATCCCCTCTCCTCCCTCACACCGCCTTCCCGTGGGAGCTGAGTCTGAGTTCCAGGCAACGCATGTGAGCAAAAGCCAGGCCATGGGGGGGCAGGGGGGCTCACAGGGGTTCTCAGAGGGGGCTGGAGTAGGGTAGGAGAGGCAGAGCCCAAGCTGTGGAGAAGTCAGTGGGGGAGGCAGGCGGGAGGCCCCCGTTTGCTCACTGCCTCTGGCTTGCTCCACAGCTGGCCGTGGAGGCCTTGGAGCAGGAGAAACAGGGTCTGCAGAGCCAGATCGCCCAGATCCTGGAAGGGCGGCAGCAGCTGGCACACCTCAAGATGTCGCTCAGCCTGGAGGTGGCCACGTACAGGTACAGGTTGACCCCAGCCACCAGACACACAGAACCACAGGGGTGGGCAGACTCCTCAGCTGAAGGGGCCCAGGCACGGGTGGCACAGCCCTGCCATCTCTGGTGTCCGTGACTCTAGGTTGGTCCCTTCCACACCAGGACATGTCCCACCTAAGCCCATGCTTCCACATGGGTTTAAGCCCAGAGGAGTGACATTGCTGAGTGGGGCAGCCTCAGGAGAGGGGCTGGACACTGAGGTACCGGGTCCTTCCCTGAGGGCCTAGTGTGTGCTCACACGAGGGGCTGTGTCTTTGGGCAGCTCGAGGAGGCACTGCAGGTGTGGGGGGGCTGCCCTGACTTGCCACCGGCCCCCCGGCCTCAGCCTCAGCTAGGGGCTAGGAGCTGGGCTAAGTGATTCCAAGCCCCTTCTAGCCCGAACGTCGTGGGGCCTGACCCCTCACGCCCTCGCGCCATTGGCCTTGTCCAGCCCTTTGACCACTTCCTGATGGCCTCTCCTGGGACTCCGGCCCTGGCGTTGGCTGAGGATCCTCTGGAGGAAGGGGTTTTGCAGAAAGGGCTGCACACACCAAGCTGCAGGGCGGGGCTGGGCTGCAGTGCTGCTGGGATGGGGCACCTCTCCTCCAGATCCCTAGGCAAAAGCCAGGGGCCCTGGGACAGGCCTGAGAGGGGAAGCAGGGCCCAGAGAGGGTCAGTGAGGACCTAGGAAGATTTAGGAGGTCTGCGAGGAGGAAAGGAGCTTCGTTTCTCCAGAAGACAGAGCTCAGAAGGAGCAGCGCTGCAGGGGAAGGTCAGGGGTGAGGACGGGACAGAGGTGCCCTATAGGAGTACCAGCCACGCTCCGAGATCCCAGAAAGAGCAGAACAGATGTCGAGCCTATCTTTGCTTGTTTTTGTTTTTTGTACTTTGCCATAGGATGCGTATGCTGGCAGGAGAGAGACTGAGCCAGTGAGAGGGAAAGTGAGAAATCGCCCCTCGGGGGTTGGCTGTGTTGCAGTTCTTTCTCCTCCATTCTCCTCTGGGGATTTCAGGCACGCACCCAGCGTGATTTTCAAGCCACTAGATCCTGGACTCAAACCGCAGTCCGCCATGTGGCAATCCAGGGCCTTAACCTCCACACCACCTGCTGAGCTCTGTGTAGCCTGCCTACCTTATTGAATTCATTGCCCCTCTCCCCAATCAGCCCCTTCAGGCACTGAGGCAGGGGCCTGGACACAAATACCTCTGTGCCCTGATGGGCTTAGAGGTCCCAAGTAAGGGCCTTGACCCCCAAAATGAACCATGAGAAGAAGGGTCTGTATCCCCCCCCCAAGGAATTTAACCTCAAGCTGGTGAGGCTTGAAAAGGATTTGGAGAGAGGGAGCGGAATTCTTTTGCCTTTGTCAGTCCCCAGCTCTGGGGGCCCCAGAGGAGGCGAGGGAGCCCATCCCATGGGAACGGCCTGAGCATTCCCACTTCCTGGGGGAAGCCCCCCTTCTCAGACCCTCCAGATGGCTGGGTGGACAATGGCAGCAATTAGCATGAGAATTGGCCCCCCACATGGCGGATGAGGTCATTGGCCTGCAGCAGGGAGGGGAGACTGGTCTCCCGGGCTGTGTGTGTGTGTGTGTGTGTGTGTGTGTGTGTGTGTGTATGGCCCTGCGCCCCACTGTGTGGGAATCTGCTTGCGTGTCCGTGAGCTCTACCGTGTGTCCCAAATATGTGTGTGACCCAGTGTGTGATGCCTGTGGACATGTGACCTGTGATTTTGTTTTGTGGCTTTTGTGTGACTGGTGAAAATGAAGAGGGTGTCTGAGGGGCCGGCAGGCGGGGCTCAGCGGCTGTGCTCCCAGCTGATCCCCCCCAGCGGACTAGCCCCCTGTCCTGCGGGTGGCCGGCTGACCCAGCTTCTCCTTCAACCCAGGACCCTCCTGGAGGCTGAGAACTCACGGCTGCAGACACCCATTGGCGGCGGTTCCAAGGCTTCTCTCAGTTTCCAGGGTAAGAGGAGGGACCAGGGTCCCCCTGAAACACGACCCTTCTTTGCTTCATGTAGCCCGGACCTTCCTTTCCTGAGAAATACAGTCTCAGGCTTAACTCCTTGGCCCCACAGCAGGGCCCATGGGCCTCCTTGCCCACTGAGGTGGCTGCCCTGGGCTCTGCTGACTGCCAGGACGTACTGACAGTTTCTTCCCCGCCTCTGCCTTTCCAGACCCCAAGCTGGAGCTGCGTTCCCCTGGGACCCCAGAGGGCCGGCGTCCGGGACCTTTGCTCCCTGTCCTGAGCCCAGCTCCCCTCCCCTCACCCTTGCCCGAGACTCTTGAGACACCTGTGCCAGCGTTTCTGAAGAGCCAGGAATTCCTGCAGGCCCGGATCCCCACGCTGGCCAGTACCCCTATCCCACCCACATCTCAGGCTCCCTGTCCTGCCACAGATGCAGAGATCAAAGCCCAGGCTGCCCCTGTTTCCCTGGCCCAGCCACAGGATGAGAGGCAACAGGCTCCAGAGCCCCAGTGGGCTGAGGTCAAGGAGGCCGTCCCTGCCAGTGTCCTACCAGGACCAGAGGAGCCTGGGGGCAGGCAGCGAGAGCCCAGTGCAGGCCAGGTCCCTGAGCAGCAGGCCTCCTCATCCCTGCCCCTCAGCTGCAGCCACCCCAGCTTAGAGGTTAAAGATGAAGAACCCAATGGGTCTAGGGTGCCCAGTGTGTTCCAGGAGGAGGGTAAAGGACAGACCTGGGGGCTGGTAGAAGAAGAAACAGCCAGAGAGGTCAAAATGGTGAGCAGCTTGCAGCAGGAAACATGGCGAGAAGAAGATCTGGACATGAAGGAAATTCAAGACTCCCACAGTCCTTTGGAGAAAGAAACCCTGAGAGCCCTGGGAAAGGAGATTCAAGAGCCACTAGAAAACCAGAACCATGAGACACTAGAGAAGGAGAATCAAGAACCTCTGAGGTCTTCTGAAGATGAGACCTTAGAAACACCGAAAAGCCTGGAAAACGTGACTCAAGAGCTAGCGAAGTCTTTAGAAGAAAAGGATGTGGAACTAGTGAGACCTCTAGAACAGGAGACTCTAGAACTACTTAAGCCCATGGAAAAAGAGGACTCAGAGACATTGCAAGCCCTAGAAAAGGAGGGTCAGGGACTGGTGATGTCTCTTGAAGAGAATATAGAGACATTTTTATTTCCAGAAAAAGAAAATCAAGAATTAGTGAGATCTCTAGAAGAGGAGAACATAGAGTCATTGAGAAGTCTGGAAGAGGAGAATCAAGAACCACTGAGCTTTAAAGAAGAAGACCAGGAACTACTGAGACCTCTAGCAAAAGAAAATCAGGAGTCCCTGAAGGCTTTTGAAGATGAAAACCAAGAACCCTTTAGAGAGCTAGAAGAAGAGAACCAGGAGCCACTGAAATCTCTAGAAGAAGACCAGAAGATTATGAGACCTCTAGAAAAAGAGACTCTGGAGCCTCTCAGGTCTCTAGAAGAAGAGGACCAAGAGACATTAAGACCCCTTGAAAAAGAGACTCAACCACCACTGAGGTTTCTAGCGGAGGAAGACCAGATGACATTAACACCTTTAGAAGAGAGGAACCCAGAGCCTCTAAAGTCTCCTGGAGAAGACCAGGAGATAGTTAGAGCTCTTACAAATGAAAATCCAGAGTTATTAGAGTCACTAGGAAAAGAGAGTGCAGAGGTAGTGAGATCTCTAGAAACAGAGAACCTAGAATCTCTCATGTTTGCAGAAGGGAACCCGGAAATATTGAAGTCTTTAGAAACTCAAGAGACGCTGTGGTCTTTGGAAGAAGTGAATCTGGGGACCAAGAAACCTCTAGAAAAGGGCATTCAAGAACCACAAGGGTCTGCGGAAGAAAACCAAGGGACACCAAGACCTCTAGAAAAGGACAGTCAGGAACCACTGAGCTCTTTGGGAGAGTGGAGCCTAGAGAATTTGAGATCTTCCGAAGAGGTGGAAAAGGAAAGTGAGGAGAACCTGGGAGAGGAAGAGAACCCGGAGAAGGGAAAGGATCAAGAGTTACCGAGACCCCGGGAGGAGGGACGGGAGCAGCCCCTGTGGGTGAATGGGCAGAGTGGGGAAGATGTGGTGGGGGACCAAGATCCGGGTCAGGAACCCTGCCCTGGGAGGCCTGGGGTGGGAAATGAGGATGAGGCAGAGCTGAGCCTGAGGATGTGCGATGGCTTGTCCGATGGCTTGTCCGATGGCTTGTCCGATGGCTTGTCCGATGGCTTCAGGAAGGAGGCTGCAGAGCTGGGAGAGCCACAGCCCAGTGCTGCCTGGGAGGGGCAGTCGGGGAGCCCCGAGCCAGCTGAGGGAAGCAGCGGGAAGGGAGGTGCTAAGGGCCTTCAGGACTCTGAAAAGCAAGCAGAGCAGGTGGGGGCTCCAGACCCTCAGGCTCCCCAGGGAATGGCAGAGGTGAAAGGGCCCCCATTGGACAATGAGAATGCAGCCCCTGGAGGTGACCGTGCATCCCCAGTGGTCACCTTGGGGTCCGAAACCACTGTGGAGGAGTCTGTTGTGGGAGCCAAGCAGGGACTAGAGCAGGAGGCGGGAGGGCTGGGGCAGTCCCTGGGGGAGGAAAGTCTGGAGGCAAAAATGGTTCAGGGCTTGGGAGGGCCTGGGGAGGACCTAGAGGAGGCAGGTGCTCTGCAGACAGAGTTCTCTAAACTGGCCCGGACAGAGTCGGAGCCCGAGGCCTCAGGCCGTGATGGTGAAGCGGGTACACAGCTGGGTGCTCGCAGCCCCAAGCCCCCTGAGCCCTGGCCGCCCAGCCCAGTACTCGAAGAAGCCCCCAGGCCCCAGCCCCAAGTCGAGGGGAATCAGGAGGCAGAAGGGGAGGAAGAAGCCCCCGGGCCCCAGCCCCAAGTCGAGGGGAGGCAGGAGGCAGGAGAGCTGGAGGGCAGGGCCAAGGGAAAGGTAGAAGGTGAGCTAGGGGAGTTGGGTTCTGGAGAGATCCCTGAGGGCCTCCAGGAGGAGGGAGAGGAGAGCAGAGAAGAGAGTGAGGCCGATGAACTAGGGGAGACCCTGCCAGACTCCACGCCTCTGGGCTTCTACCTCAGGTCCCCTTCCTCCCCAAAGTGGGACCTGGCTGGAGAGCAGAGGCCTTCCCATCAAGGAGAGACCCCAAAAGAAGGCTGGGACCCTGCTATTCTGGCCCCCAAGGACCTTGCAGCCCAACCCTCAGAGGAGGAGGCGGGGAATAGAGAGGAGGGGTGTGGCCCAGACTCTGACCTGTCTGAGGAGTTTGAGGACCTGGGGACAGAAGCCTCTCTTCTCCCCAGGGTCCCCAGGGAGGTGACGGAACCCCTGGGCCAGGTGCCCCAGCTGCTCCTGGAGCCCGCAGCAGCCTGGGATGGAGATGGGGAGTCTGATGGGTTTGCAGACGAGGAAGAGAGTGGGGAAGAGGAAGATGAGGAGGGCGAGGAGCCGGGGGCTGGGCAGTGGGGGCCAGCGTCCTCGGCAGGCAGCCTGCAAGCCCTGAGTAGCCCTCAGAGAGGGGAGCTGGAGTCTGGGACTCGTGGGGTCAACGTCCCCTGGGATGATGGCCCTGGGGGAGCAGCGGCAGACGCCCCTGGGACTGCCCTGGAGACCGAGTCCCAGGACAGCACTGAGCCCTCTGGCTCTGAGGGGGATTCTGACCCCTCGCCCTTAGAGAGGGAGGACCAAGTCCCTGGGCCTCTGGAGACCCCCAGTGGGGCAGATGACATGGGCCCAGAGGACAGGGACACCCTTGGTGTCAATGGCCAGGGACCCAGCTCGGACGAGGAGCTGGGGCAGGTCGATGGGGCAGTGGTGAATGGACTGCGGCAGTCTAAGGGCGAGAGGCAGGGGAGACTGGGAGCTCCTGAGGGGGACCAAGGGAGCCCCCTACAGGAGGACGGGGCGGCCCTGAAGACCCCTTGGGCAGGGGCTGCTCTTCACCTGGACCCCGGCCAGTTTCCAAGGTTCACTCAGAGGGACGGGGATGGGGACTCCTGGTCCTCTGGGGAGGATTAGGAGAAGCACTCCCGCACTGAGGGCTGGGGAGGGGCAGACAGGACGCCCCCAAGCCCCCTTCCTGCTTGGGGCAGCACCCTAACTTACGCCTTGCATGTGCTTTCTGTCCAGAGGCCCGACGCGGAGGTAAAGGCGTGGTCAAGGGCCCAGTCCCAAGAGCGGAGGCTCTAGTAAAAACCTCAGGCCCCAAAGGGGGATGTGGCTCCCGCACTGTCCCCTAGGCTGAAGTCAGCTGAGTCCCTGTAGTAGGGACCCTTCCTCTGCATCCCATCTGCTGGGAAAGGCCTGCGTCCAGTGGCTCCCCCTCGTCCAGTGGCTCCCCCTCGGGGGCTGCCAGCCTGCCCTGCTTCCTGGGGTATCTCCCTCCTGGGATGTGACCTGTGCTAGTGAAGGTGAGGGGTGCTCCCCTGCCCTGGCCCCCCAAACCCTGCCATATAGCCCCATTCGGACCATCCCTGCCTAAATAAAGTATTGCCTCCACCTACCAAGTCTGAACTCTTCCTTCCCGTGGCTGGGTGGGTCTAGGGGCTGGCCTGGGCAGCTGGGGACTGCGGGAGGCAGGGGGTGTGACCCTGGGGAGAGGAACCCCCTCCGGTGAAGGCAGGCAGACTGGGCTGCAGGACCAGGGCCTGGCCAGGGCTTGGGGGCTGCGGCTCTGCGGGGGAGTCCAGTCCAGGTGACCTCAGTGCCTGCAGACCTCAGGCCACTTATCATCTCTGCCCACAGCGCTGATTACAGGAATTAGGCTTTGGGGCCACCTCCCTCACCCTCCCATGTCCTCCCCACTAGCCCCGCAGTGCCGCCAGCATAATAAGCCCCTGTGTCCCCAAACCCAAACAGTTGTCTGGCCCGCCGTGTCTGCTGAGGCCGGGTCAGGGCGAGGTAAGGGGAGAGGGGCCTGTTCTGCCCTAGTCAGGCTGTGTGGCCTCAGGTCAGCAGTTAACCTCTCTGAACCTCACTCAGCCACACAATGAGGGAGTCTGAGCCGGTGCCCCTTGGGCAATTCCTGGCAGGAAGGTAGGAGGGAGACTGCGGGAGTGGAGGCCAAGGGAGTGGAGGCCAAGGGGAGGCCGAGGACTACAGGGTAGATCTTGAGTAGGCCTCTCCTCACACGCTAAAGCAGGAGACAGGGAGGAGGGGAAAGTTAGGGTGTAGGGGAATGGTGGATGGAAGTACCGGGGCCAGAGCCAGGGGGTGCACTTTTGCTGTGCTAGGGGGCTACCCAGCTTTTCCCCTCTCCCTGGCTGCCCAGAAGTTCAGGGTCCCTGTATAGGGAGGACAGGGAGAGGCCCAGGGGTTCCCGGATTGGGGTCGTGCCTGAAGGCCTTGAAGTCAGGTACCCAAATGGAAACCACCCCACCTTGCCCTGCAGGAAGGAAGACCTGGCGCCCCCTGACTATTGTGGGGGAGGCGGGCTGGCAAGCAGCTGCTGCAGTCTGGAGACATCCCAAGCCCAGGAGTAGCTCTTCCTCTCCTGGGGCTCAAGGCTGGAGAGGGATGCGAGGACACCCCGTTCCCGCTGACCACAGAGGGATGCACAGGAGGCCGCCCCCACAGGCTCTCTATCTGCTTCTCTGCCCCTGCTTCTCCCCTCCTCCATCTAGAGGTTCTGTCTTGGGCACCAGGCCCCATTTCAACACACCCCTGCCCTCAGGGTCAGGATCTCATCTCTCTCCACCCCACCCCGCTGGCAGCCGGAGCCTCCGCTCTCTCTTTCCTGTACCCACTAACAAGGCCCTGTCTGATCCCGCCAGGCTGCCAGGCATCCAGGCAAGCAAGGCCCACTCCCTGCCCCTCTGACGGGACAGAGGCACCCTGTGCCTGATCTCCCCAAGCCCTCGGGCATCCCCGCTTGGGCGAGGGCCGAGGACAGAGGCTGAGCCAAACAGTCCTTCCCCCGTGTTCAGCTGCCCATCCTGCCCTCACTCCCAGCAAGGCCGCAGTCCCCTACAGAGTTCCCCAAGCCCCCCATTGCTGCCAATGACCCCAGATGGGAGAGACATCAGGGACAGAGGTGAGGACTTTCCTAAAGGGGAGGTACTGAGAGGTGTCCTGTGCTAGTGATTGTCGCACAGCGAGGGAATTGTGGGCTGGACAGCCACGGGGACCTTCCTGGTGCTCAGGATAGGAGTGGCTGTCACTTTCATTCGTTCCTTTTTTATGTGTTTATCTATTTATTTGCTATAGGGCATGTTTGCTCGCTGAAGAGAGACAGAGTCAGAGGGAAAGTGGGACCTGCAGGTGGCATCATGGTTACGTCGCTAGACTCCCACGCAGTGGACCCCGGTTCGAATCCAAGACGTAGAACTCATTTAAAATTCATGTTGGGCATTTGTGTGTGAACCCAAAACCCTGAAAAGAGAACGGAGGAGAAAGGATTGCGATGTGGCCAACCCCCAGGTGGGGGGCTGATGTCTCACTTTCTGTCTCTCTGTCTCTCTCAGCCTCTCCAGTGAGTGCACACGCCCTATAGCAAAAATCTCTTAAAAAAAAAAATTCAGTTAGAGAGGCAGTGAGAAAGTGCCCCCTGGAGGGAGAGCCATGCCACCATCCCTCACTCCTTCCTGTTGTGATTCTGGGCATGTGTGCACATGGGCCATAGTGTACCCCAAGCCCTCAGGTCCAGGACTGGAACCGTGCAGCTGGCCGTGAGGGATCCAGCCGCTTTAATCACCACCTCACTGGCTGGTCCACACGGCCGGTCACCAGTACCTGCTAGGTGCCCTGCACTGCGCCGGCGCTGGGACCCAGCCACAAACCACCTCGTCGTGCCTTGCTCAGGAAGGTTTGCTCGCTGCTATCCCACTGTGGCGCCCCAAATTCAGGTGCTGAGATCTGGTTGTCATAAGACTAAGAGGTCGAAAATTTAATTCAATCATGGTGTCAAGAGATGAGGCCTTGGGACCAATTAGCGTAATGGCTATGTTGCTGACTCCCATGTAGTTGACCATGGTTCGAGTCCTGGACCCGGTAGCTTAAACTCACACCGGGCACGTGTGTGTGTGTGTGCCCAAGATCCCGAGAGGAGAATGGAGGAGAAGGGACTGGGGCGTGGCCATCCCCCCTGGGGGGTGATTTCCTCGCTTTCTGTCTCTCTGTCTCTCTCGGTCGTTTTGGCGAGCACACGCGCCCTATAGCAATAAAACCTCTCAAAATAAAAAAAAAGAAGAAGAGATGAGGCCTTGGGGCCAGCAGGTGGTGAGGTAGTTAAGGCACTGCATTCCCACATGGCCAACTGTGGTTCAAGTCCCAGAATCGGCAGCTTGGTGATCATGCTGGGCGTGTGCACACGTGTGCCAAAAATCTCGAGAAGACCATGGAGGAGAAGGGCGAAATCTGCTCCTACCCCTCCTTTCTCTCCGAGAGGCGTGAAGAAACAAAGTCCACACGCACTCATCTATTGGAGGAAAGCTAGTTCCAGACATGAGGAGGGCAGACTTCTTTTGCTACAAGGAGTGTGCACTCTCTGGAGAGAGACAGAGAGAGACAGAAAGTGAGAAGTCACCCCCTCGAGGACATGTCCACGCCCCAATCCCTTCTCCTCCTCCATTCTCTTTGGATTTGGGGTATGCATGCACATGCGCCTGGCATGAGTTTTAAGCTTCCAGGACCAGGACTCGAACTGCAGTAGATTACATGGGGAGGTCCAATGAAGTAACCATTATGCAATCTGCTCATTATTTATTTTAAAAATTTTGGGAACTGGCATGGTGATTAAGGGCGCTAGACTCCCACATGACGGACTGCAGTTTGAGTCCCAGACCTGGCAGCTTGCCTTCTCACTTTCTCTCTCCTTCCCTCTCTCTCTCTTCCTTTTTAGTCAAATTGAAATGAATGAATGAATGAATGAATGAAT